GAGAGCAAGGGCGTTCTCTGTAGTTACAACACCGCTTAGTACACCTACATCCCATATCAAAGTCCCTCATTCGAGTCCTGCCTCTGCTTCTAATCCAGCTTCCTGCTAACGCAGAGAGGAGCAGGTGAAGTACTCGTGTCCCTACCACCTACTGGGAAGACCCAGATGGAATTCGGGGCTCCTGCTTTTGGTCTGGCCCAGCCCAAGCTATTGTGGGCATCTGAGGAGTGAACCAGCAGATAGAAGATCTCTTTCAAAATAAAATGGAAAAAGACAAAAGACCCTTGCACTCTTCCCTGGCCTATGAGTACCTAAGATGGCACTTGGCGAACAGTATGTGCTGGATAAACGGTTGTTTATCAGGGACAGCAACAGCATCCCGCACCCCGTCACTCCCCCAACCTTTCTTCTGGCTTCTTTCCCCTTCCTTGCCTCCCTCAATCCCCAGTCTTGTCTGCTCAGGGCCACCCAGGGCCTGAGAGCCACAGGCTCCAGTCCAGCAGGCCAGTTCTCCGTGCTCCTGATCTAAGAGTGAGGGGCAGTGTAGGTCACTGGTCCAGCCCACAGCCCAGGCAGAAGGTGCTGAGGCTGTCACTGAGTCCCCCCTCTGATCCCCAAACTAGTCAAAATCGGTGTAGGAGAGCAGCGGACAGGTATTAAGTGCACACTAGCATTTCAATAAGGACTGCTGGCTGCACGCTGCATCCTATTCAGTATCACTGTAACTTTTCAGCATAAGGTAGTAGGGTTAGTGGCAAAAAGAAAAAAAAAAAGTCACAGTTAACAGAGTCCAGAAAGGATTTCTTATTCCTCCAATGGGAGAATCCAGGTCCCTGTGGTGGAGACGGGAACACCAACCCTTTCAGGTCACCCAGCTCTCCGTGTGCAAGGGACCAGCTTCCCTGCAGAGGGAGGGTGCCCACAGAGGAAGGGGCGAGGTGGTGGGCAGGCACACGTGTTCCCAGGCCATATGACGGTATTCACTGTCGAGTCTTCAGTTTACGCCATTCCCATGGCTGCCTGTGAGCCGGCCTGCCCCCCCCCCCCCCCCCGGGCCAAGTGCTAAAATCGAGGTCCTGGGACGCCTAGGGGGAGACCAAATCCTGCCAGCCCCTGCCGGAAGGTGTCCCTCTGCCCACTCTTCAACTCCAGGGTTTTTTGTGTTCATTAGTTGCTTCTCATGTATGCAATTCTATGCTTCCTGAAACGCTGCACTCATAGCTCCTGGAGCCCAAACTGGGAGATGCCAAAAGACTGCCCTAACCAGAGGGGCACTTGTTCTTGGATAGCCCCAAGGATGCTGGCCTGAACTCCTTGTTTGGAGGCACCCGAGTTGGGGGGGGGAGTTGTCTGGATGGTGAGGGGTGCCAATTTTGGCCTGCCCTGGGCCAAGGTGTGACCCCTTTGTAATTTCCAGCCAAGCCCACTAGGCAGCGTGGGTGGCCTGAGCTGCCCTGCATTCCCGGGGTGGGGGCAGCTCAGATGCACCCAAGGCGTGGAGCTCTGTCCTTGCCATACAAAGAAACCACTCGCACCAGGGCCTTTGTGTCTGTAGCCGACTTTACTGAAGATCTGGAGAGACAAGGGGGTTTACAGAGCAAAAATACAAAAGCCTTTAGGTTGAACACAGACATCGCGAGCTCAGAAAGACCCTCCGGCCACGGCCCCCTCCCAAGAAGGTACCTGACCGCCTCCCCCACCCTGTCCTTTCTCAGGAAGTAGCACAGAAGTCAAATTCCTGACAGTTCTCTCCTCTGAGCAGGTCAATCTCCCGTGTGTCTGCCATTCCTTTCCAGAACTTTCCCTGGGCCTGTCTGCCCCTACTGGACCACAAGTTCATCTTCCCAATTCAGAAACTTCCTCCCCCTGGCCTCTGAGACCAGGGTGCCGCCACCCAAGGCCTTGGCTCACCTCCAGGGAGGGGCCCCACAGGAGAGCTTGTGTGAGTGCCTCGGGGCCCGGCTCACACACCTCAGGACCAAGCCTGCCCCCCCTCCTAGCAGCAAAGTCAGAGCCACTTATTCCCACTTCATAAATATAGTTCTGAAGGTTTCCAGAGGGTAAGTCATGCCCCCAAGGTCACATGACACAGAAGAGGCCAATTCGGTCCTAAATCGGCCTGGTTCGTATTCTTGAGAACTCAGATGTAAAGTCTTTGGTTTTCACTCTCGGAGCTAAGGAAACAGATCATGTAAGAAGGGGGCAAGCACAGTGACAGGGACTACACCTGCCCCCAAGGTGAAATCCTACGCCGCTGCAGCCAGGTGAGAGCCATGCACCTGCTCAGCCGATGCCCGCTGTGCCCAGGACAGGGAGCAGGCGAACAGGATACAGACGCCTGGGTGAGGCCACATCATGGCAGCCCCTCGCTCCCCACTCAGCTGGCCTCATTCCCAAAAGAATTACACACACACACTCAGCCCAAACCCCTTGTAGGGAAATCATCCCACTGAGGTTCACTGGTAGAATCTGCTTGGCCATCCTGAGATCCTACGAGATGCCATGTCTTCCTGTTCCTGTCTCCACCCCCACCACCACATGACCTGTCAACTCTCCATCATGGTGAGGGTGGGGTGGGGGTGGGGAGAGCTGGCTATCTCTAGAGGGCCAGGGCCCTTCCCCACCTGGCAGATCCGCACAAGGCGGACTGCACTGCCTTGGGCACACTCACTCTATCTCATCAAGTGTTCACCGAGCACCTGCTGGATTCCAGACGCAGTGCTCGGTTTACGTGAAGTAGCAGGAAAGGAAAAGCAGACGCCGAGGCACAGTTACAGGAGCTTCTCCGCAGTCCACGGCAGCCCCAGGGTTGCTCTCTGAAAGTCAGATCACAGGCAGGCATTTGGCCCAGTGGTTAAGATGCTCCACGTCCCACACTGGAGGGCCCAGGTTCAATAACCGGCTCTGGTTCCTGACTCCAGGCTCCTGCTAACGCAGACCCTGGGAGGCAGAGGTGAAGGCTCAAGTGATGAGCTTCCTGCTACCCACGTGGGAGACCTGGATTGAGCTCCTGGTTGTCTTGGGCATTTGGGGAATAAACCAGTAGATGTAAGTTCTCTCTCAAGTAAATCTATACCATTTTTTGAGTAATAAAACTAAGACCAGATCTACGAATCTCCCCTGCTCAACTTCCAGGACTTCTGGTGACACTGAGTGAAGTTGAAAGTCCTAACCACGAGGGGGTGGCCGAGGGACACAGGGAGACTAAGTCACCTGCTTCTTTCATGCGTTCTGCCTGCCTCAACCCCTGCGTCACTCACTCTGCATCCCACCTACTCACTGCACCCAGGACACAGCTGTGCCCTCCCCTCCCAGGGCTGCCTCTTGTCCTTCAAATGCCATCACGGCTGGTAACCCTCCACCTAACCCTAGCGCCTGCCCAATTCCTGCCTGGCACTTGCCACAACCTGCAAGTGTCTCATTCGCTGGCACACTTCCCCAAGGTCCAGTCTGTCCTGCTGGCGAACATACTCCCAGCTCTAACTCAAAGCAGAAGTTGGACAAAATATTGACTAAGTGAATGAACAGACGCGTTCACCAGTCAGGAAAGTGAGCCGATGTCTCTGCACATCTCTAAAACAAGGCTGGCGGGGGACCTGTGCGTTGAGGCCCCTGGAATGCGGCTGACACAGCTGGGCGTGCCTAACCCTTCTGCAGGAGCACTGGCTCTGGAAGAACGTGTCACAGACGGCCCAGCCCGTGGGAGAGGTGGGGGAGATCACTCCTGGCCAGGGGTCCTGCAGGGAGGAGGTGCCAGAGGCAGCGGGTCAGGACAGGAGGGAGGGACCAGGTCTCGGCTCCCAAGGCCCCAAGGCTCAGGTCCGCACTGTCCTGCTGTGGCTGACTTCCTCGGGGTCAGGCTGCTGAGGTGGGCTCTTCACTCGCAGCCAACACCTGTGCTGCCCTCCACCCACGCAGAGAACCAAAGGACATCTGCTCACTGGGTGCACGTGTCCCTGGCGGTCAGGGTGCTGACTGCTGCTGCCAGTCAAGGGTGAGGGGGTGGGTGCTGTGGGTTTTCCTACTCCAAACAGCCCACAGGAATAGGTGTGGGTGAGCAGAGAGGCCAGGGAGGGGTGGGGATCCTTCCGCAAACACCAGCCCACCTGTGGACGTGAGAGAACTCATTGCCTGCCCAGACACTCAGCCCAGGCTCCCTGGGGCCCATGGCCCATCTTTAAAAAAAATTTTTTTGTATTTATTAATTTTTTATTATTGATTTAAAAGGCAGATAGGCAAGGAAGATCTCCCATCTACTGTTTCATTCTGCAAAAGCCCTCAACAGCAGAGCTGGGCCAGGCCAAAGCCAGGAGGCTAGAACTCCATCTGGGTCTCCCATGTAGGTGTCAGGGATCCGGGTACCTGAGCCATCCTCTGCTGCTTTTACCATTAGCAGGGAGCTGGGCGGGGAGTGGAGCAGCTGCCTCCCAGGGTGCACGTTAGCAGGGAGCTGGATAGGGAGCAGAGCTTGGACTGGCCCCAGGCACCCTGATACAGGATGTGAGCATTCCATGCCCCTCTCAGCCTGTTTGGACAGAAGCTGGGCCTCCATCTACCGTGCAGTGGTGCTGTCTGGCACAGGGCTGAACAGCAGTGCTGGGCTGTGAGGCTTCTTTCCCCGTCCAGGAGGCTGACGGCCTGCCTTCCTCCCACCTCCATGCCCCCACCTCTCCTATCTCTGCACACGAGCTGCTTCGAGAATCGGCTCACCCCACTCAACAGTTTTCCACTCTGACTCCTTAGTTAGACTGCAAGCTCCTACTAGCCAGAACAAGGCACATGTTATGCATCGAACACGAATATGTGCTCGGTGCTTCGCTAGGCACTGAACACACACGAGGTAGGTTATTGTGGTGATGCCCATTTTACAGATGGGGAAACTGAGGCAGAGAGAAAGTAAGTTAGCTTGTTGCAAGATCACACAGGTTTAGTCAGTGGCTGGTCTGATCCCAAGAGCCCTTATTCCTAACCACGACTCAGGAAAACCTCCCCTTATTTAAAAAAAAAATCTAATTTTCATATTCCCATTGAACATCTGGAGCACCAGGCACCCTTGTAGGTCTGTGGTTTCAATCCTCTGCCCTTGACCCAGCAGAGGATACCAGCGTCAGCAGGTGGCAGCAGCGAGCTGAGGGCGGGGAGGGTGCTCATCAGACCTGCTCTCAGCCTGTGTGCACCAGGCAGGTCCCAGCCTCTCTCTCCCCTCCTTCCACTTTACAGGGAAGAAAAGGTACCAAGGCTGGCAGGGCCCCCAGGCCATGGCAGCCTAACCTAAGGCCCCACTGGCTCTCTCAAGAGCAGCCAACCAAGCGGGGCCTAGGCGGGGTGCACTCCCTGCTCCTCATGCCCAGGGAGCAGAGAAACTGCCCGGTGTGCAGGCGCCAGACAGCCTAGGGCTGGCTCCAAGCAGGGCCCCAGCTCTGGGCACCCAGAAAACATCTGAACAGGGGCCCCCGAGGGCCACGGGCACGCCACACTGCAGACCGACCTCCTGATCTTCTCTGCCTTCAGATTGCCTGGGCTGCCTCTGCAGAGCCTGCCTGGGGCCCCCGGGGATCTGGAACCACGACCCCCAGCTGTGGCCACGGAGACGGCGATGGGGGAGACGGACGAGAACTCCTGGGAGAGCTCTGAGCTTGTCCCCTTCCGACACCTGTCACCTCCACACCTAAAACCCTAGGCCTGGTGGCATGGGCCGGCCGGAGGGGAGCAGCAGGGTGGCCAGGGAGCACAGAGGCAGTCACACACACAAGGCCGTGGGCGCCAGGGTCCATGCATGGATCTATCCTCGGGCCTCCCGGTGCAGCCGGCACCACAGCGCAGGGGCCATCGCAGCGGAGCTTCGGCGTTGGGCCAGGTTCCTGGCTGAGTCCGCCCAGGGCCAGGGCCTCTCTGGGCACCACTTCCGGTCTGCCCACAGGCGGCCCTCAGCCCCTCCCGAGGCTCATACAGCCAGACCAGGTCCTCCGAAAATACACAACACCGTGGGTTTATTGGGGGTTGGGCACTGCAGGCTCAGGCACAGTCTGTTGCTGGGTAGGAAGAAGAGTCACGGCCACGCGGCTCGGCTCCCCTGTGGCACCTCCGCAGGCTGCCCCTGCAGGGCCCCTCCCCCCTCCCCGCTCCCTGCGTCTCACTCCTTCACCAGCCGGTAGATGTGGTGCTGAGCCCCGTGCTCACTGGCCGACACCTCGAAGACGTAGGCGATGCACAGCAAGGTCTCCTGTGTGTCCCTGTTGGTGACCACCTGCGGGTGAGACAGAGGTGAGGCACGCCATCGCGGCCGTTCCCGCCGGGCCCCACGGCGCCCACGCACCTGCAGGATGGTGAAGTTCTCCAGCACGCTGTTCATCATGTGCTTCTCGGGCAGGTGCTTCAGCTTGTGGATGAAGTTGATCATGTACTCGCAGAGCGGCGAGCGGTGGATGCGGTACGAGTAGTGGCCGTTCTCATAGCGAGCATACTCTGTCTGCAGGGGCCAGGGCGACAGCAGGGCCTCAGGACCCCTTCCCCTCCCACCCAGCTCTGCTGGCAAGCTCCACAACTGGTCACGGCTGAGTGGGAAGAAAGGGCAGGAGGCCTGGAGGCCCTCGAGCACACAACCGCCTCCTCAGGTTGGCGTACGCTAACCCATTAGGCTCCTCTCCTCTGCAGTGACAGGCAGACACCTGGGCCTGGAGGAGGCCTGAGAGGGACCCGGACTGGCAGCGGTAGACGGGATGGGACAGACATCTTGCAGTCCTGGCTGCACGCTAGGATAACACATGGGATTCTCGTGGCCTCTGGTAGGAATCACACAAAGCCACACACACACACACACACACACGCGCGCGCGCGCGCGTGCGCGCACTGATGACATCTGAGCCTGACTGGTGGACCATATCACTGTAACTTCCTGGCTGTCAATATTAGACTCTAGTTACAGGAGATTATGACTGCATGAGGATCCACAAGGATCTCAAAGATTTGGGGGCCGGCATTGTGGTACAGCAGGCTGCTGTCTGCAACAAGGGCATCCCATGTGGATGCCAGTTGGAGTCCTGGCAGTACCACTTCTGATGCAGCTCCCTGCTAATGCATCTGGGAAAGCAGTGGGAGATGGCCCAACTACTTGCGCCACTGCACCCACACAGGAGGCCTGGGTGAAGCTCCTAGCTTTGGATCGGCCTGGCCTCAGCTGCTATAGCCATTTGGGATGTGAACCAACAGATCAAAGAACTCTGTCTGTCCCGCCCTCTCTCTCTGTATCTCTGCCTTTCAAATAAAGAAAAGAAACCTTAAATAAAAATGCAAAAGTTTGGGCCGGCGCCGCGGCTCACTAGGCTAATCCTCCGCCTAGCGGCGCCGGCACCCCGGGTTCTAGTCCCGGTCGGGGCGCCGGATTCTGTCCCGGTTGCCCCTCTTCCAGGCCAGCTCTCTGCTGTGGCCAGGGAGTGCAGTGGAGGATGGCCCTGGTGCTTGGGCCCTGCACCCCATGGGAGACCAGGAAAAGCACCTGGCTCCTGGCTCCTGCCACCGGATCAGCGCGGTGCGCCGGCCGTAGCGCGCCGGCCGCGGCGGCCATTGGAGGGTGAACCAACGGCAAAGGAAGACCTTTCTCTCTGTCTCTCTCTCTCTCACTGTCCACTCTGCCTGTCAAAAAAAAAAAAAAAAAAAAAATGCAAAAGTTTAAGGAAGGGCACTTCAAAACATGTGTGAAAAAAATGAATAGTTTATGTTGTGGGGTCAGTACTGTGGTGTAGCAGGTTAAGCTGCTGGCTACAGTGCTGACACCCGCATCCTATATGGGCACTGGTGCATGTGCTGGCTACCCTACTTCTGATTCAGTGTCCTGCTAATGGATTGGGAAAAGCAAAGGAAGATGGACCAAGTATCTGGGCTCCTGGCTTCGGCCTGGCGCAGCACTAGCTGTTGCAGCCATCTGGGGAGTGAACCAGCAAATGGAAGATCAATCTCTCTCTGCCTCTCTGTAAGTCTTTCAAAATAAGAAAGAACATTATTTTTTTAAATGTTTATATTGGAATGTATACATAGGTTTTCCAAAATATGCAATTTCAATGAATTTTTGAAGTGCTCTTCTAAGTTGAGGTTTTTTTAAAATTGCTATCGTCCTCCGGTGCCGCGGCTCACTAGGCTAATCCTCCGCCTTGCAGCGCCGGCACACCAGGTTCTAGTCCCGGTCGGGGCACCGGATTCTGTCCCGGTTGCCCCTCTTCCAGGCCAGCTCTCTGCTGTGGCCAGGGAGTGCAGTGAAGGATGGCCCAAGTGCTTGGGCCCTGCACCCCATGGGAGACCAGGAGAAGCACCTGGCTCCTGCCATCGGATCAGCGCGGTGCGCTGGCCGCAGCGTGCCAGCCGCGGTGGCCATTGGAGGGTGAACCAACGGCAAAAGGAAGACCTTTCTCTCTGTCTCTCTCTCTCTCACTGTCCACTCTGCCTGTCAAAAAATAAAAATAAAAAAATAAATTGCTATTGTCAGGGCTGGCGTTGTGGCGTAGCAGGTAAAGCTGCCACCTGCAGTGCCGGCATCCCATATGGGTGCTGGTTCGAGTCCCAGCTGCTCCACTTCCAATCCAGCTCTCTACTATGGTGTGGGAAAGCAGTGGAAGGTGGCCCAGGTCTTTGGGCCCCTGCACCCATGTGGGAGACCCGGAGGAAACTCCTGGCTCCTGACTTCGGATTGGCATAGCTCTAGGTGTTGTGGCCAATTGGGGAGTGAATCAACAAATGGAAGACCCCCCCCCCCCCCCACCGCGTAACTCTTACTTTCAAATAAATAAAATCTTTAATAAAAAATCGCTATCGTCAGCTTCTACCGACAATATGGAGAAGCCGTATGGAGATGGAGGTAAGTGGGGTTTGGGCACTGGTGGGGAGACTAAGGCCTGGCCAGGGTCAGATCCTTGAGGAAAGGGGGTATTTCTTCCTAGAACCGATCCCAGAACTAGGCTGGCATCTGGTTGTGCCTGACAGAGGGCCGGTTAGCAGTAACTGACAGTCTATACCAGCAAGAAGGCTTCCCTCCACTCAGCGGAGAAGGAGCGGCCAGGATGAAGACCGGCCTGAAACAGGGGCAAGGCGGGTGCGCAGGGTCTCAGGTGGCACGGGGCTGGAGGCCTATGTCAGCAAGGACGACCTGCCCCTAGCTTAGAGCTAGGAGGATTTAATCCCACCTCTCCCCACCCCAGCCCCAAACATAAACCAGGAAGCAAGGGCTGGGATTCAAACCCTGGGCCACCTAAGCTCACACATTTGCTGCTCCTCTGCACTGCCCAAGGTCAGGGGGTGGGGGAGACACGGAACCACTGGCCTGAATCTCCCATCACTTCACTGGAGCAGTGGCTCCAAGGTACCCACAAAGTCATACAGCAGGGAGGTGAACGGTTCCCAGCATCCATGGAGTAAGAAGTGAGCCAAAGACAGATGCCCTGGAGACCCCCTCCACGCCTGACTCTGCCCCCTGGCTAGCAGTGTGACAGTGGGGAAGGCCTCTCCTCTTTTGGGGTGTACAACCCCAGAGCCCCGCCTATGCTGGGGCTCTGCTCCGGCAGGTGATGAGGGGTGCCTGGAAGAATGTGTTTGGAAGACATATCCAGCCCAGTGCGAGGTGGCAGGCAACAAAGAGCCTGTGAGATGCTCCTGAACCCACAGAGGGGGAAGCCACAGCGGGGTCACCTGGGGTAGGGCCGTTCCAAGGAGCACTCCAGCCAAGGTGGCCGCAGGGGCCTGCTGCACCGCCCACCCCGCCCCTCCCCCAAGGCTGGGCAGGCGGTCTCCTACCTCAACCTTCTCCACCACCTGCTTGCCGAAGGAGCAGACCTTGGTGGAGCAGGTGATGATCATGTTCTCAGGACTCTCGTATTGGCTGGAGACTCCGTAGAAGGAGCTGCCTTCATCCTCGATGTTGGTGTTGAGGTCTGCCTGGAAGAAGACATGGGGAAGCCAAGGAAGAGGTCAGACAGGACAGCAGGGGCCCTGGCAAGAGGGACTGGGGTCTGGGAGACCTCCAGGTCATGGTGCAAGTTCGTGGGCTGTGAAGAAGTCAGGAGTGCTTTGAAAGGACTTAGAAAACCAGTAGGGGCCAGCGCTGTGGCATACTGGGTAAAGCAGCTGCCTGCAGTGCCAGCACCCCATATAGGCACTGGTTCTAGTTCCGGCTGCTTCACTTCCAATCCAACTCTCTGCTATGGTCTGGGAAAGCAGTAGAAGATGCCCAAGTCCTTGGGCTCCTGCACCCGCATGGGAGACCGAGAAGAAACTCCTGGCTCCTGGTTTCAGATTGGTGCAGCTCTAGCCATTGCGGCCATCTGGGGAGTGAACCAGTGGATTGAAGACCTCTCTTTCTCTCTCTGCAACTCTGCCTTTCAAATAAATAAATAAATAGATCTTTAAAAAAAAAAAAAAAGCAGTAGGCATTAGAAAGTATCTTCTCTAAATCAACAACAGGAGGCACTGCGCACTTGCTCCCCATGTAGGACCTCTGTCCTTAATGTGTTTGTACTATGAGAATGAACGGTAAAACTAGTCTTCAAACAGTACTTTATACTTTGTGTTAGGTGCAAACTGTTGAAATCTTTACTCACTATAGAGATGCTCTTCTGTATATAAAGTCAATTAAAAACAAATCTAATGAAGAATGGGATGGGAGAGGGAGTAGGAGGTGGGACAGGAATGGGGGGGAAGAACAGCTATATTCCAAAAGCTGTACCTATGAAATTTATATATTTATTAAATAAAAACTTTTCTAAAAATTAAAAAAAAGAGAAAGCATCCTCCCTTCCCCACATGGAGGCCTGGTATAAAACCATATGGATGGGCCGGCACTGCAGCTCACTTGGCTAATCCTCCCCCTGCGGTACCAGCACACTGGGTTCTAGCCCCGGTCGGGGTGCCAGATTCTGTCCCGGTTGCCCCTCTTCCAGGCCAGCTCTCTGCTGTGGCCCGGGAAGGCAGTGGAGGATGGCCCAAGTGCTTCCCTGCACCCACATGGGAGAGCAGAAAAAGGCACCTGGCTCCTGGCTTTGGATCGGCGCAGTGCGTGGCGGCCATTTGGGGGGTGAACCAATGGAAAAAGGAAGACCTTTCTCTCTGTCTCTCTCTCTCTCATTGTTTAACTCTACTTGTCCAAAAAAAAAAAACAAAAAAACAAAAACAAAACAAAACAAAAAAAAAAAAACAAAAAACAACACAACCATGTGGAGGCTTGATAGTGTTGCCCAAACCATACAAAAAGGGAACCCTGTTGGGCTGGCGCTCTGGCGTAGCGGGTAAAGCTGCCGCCTGCAGTGCCAGCACCCCATATGGGTGCTGGTTCAAGTCCCAGCTGCTCCACTTCCAATCCAGCTCTCTGCTATGGCCTGGGAAAGCAGTAGAAGATGGCCCAAGTCCTTGGGCCCCTGCACCCGCATGAGAGACCCGGAAGAAGCTCTTGGCTCCTGGCTTCGGATTGGCACAGCTCCAGCCATTGAGGTCATCTGGGGAGTGAACCAGCAGATGGAAGACCTCTCTCTCTCTCTGCCTCTCCTTCACTCTCTGTGTAACTCTGATTTTCAAACAAAATAAATCTTAAAAAAAAAAGAGAGAGAGAGAATCCTGCTGCCTGCTCAGACACCAACCCACCAGTAGGTGGGGTACTCTGTCTCCAGGATTTCATGTTTTATATTCCAAGAGTCTCTTGTTAAACTGGGAGTATTTAAGTCTAGGTCAGTCATTTCTATTTTAGTATGAATGAGTTTCAGAATCACTCTTGGTGGTAAAGAAAAAAGCCAGAACAGGGGACTGGCACTCTCAAGAAGTTAAGGACATGGAGAAGTGGTATTCTCTGGTCAGCCGGTCACAGACCCCACCAATGCTCCGTCAGAAAAGGCTCTGGGCTGCCTCTCACCATTCTCTATGGCAGTACCATAGAGAATGCCACCCTTGACCTCTTAAAAAAAAAAGATTTATTTATTCAAAAGGCAGAGCGAACAAGGAAGTGATAGAGAGCTTCCATCCGCTGGTTGGCTCCCCAAGTGGCCACAGCAGTTAGGACTGGGTCAGACAGAAGCCAGGAGCCAGGGCAGGGGCCCTAGACTCGGGCCATCATCCGCTGCTTGCCCAGCACATTAGCTAGAAGGCCGTTTGGAAGTGGAGCACCTGGGACTCAAGCTAACAGCGGTTAACCCAAGCAGGTGTTTAACCCACTGTGCAACAACGCTGGCACCTTAGCAATTTTTTTTACAGTAATTTATTTGAGAGACACACAGAGAGTCCCCATCCACTGGTTTACTCTCCAAATGCCTGTGAGGGAGGGCTGGGAACTGAATCCAAGTCTCTCAGGTAGGTGGCAGGGACCCAAGTACCTGAGCCATCACCATTGCTTCCCAGGGTCCACACGGGCAAGACATCTAAGTCGGCAGCTGGAGCTGGGAATCAAACCCAGGCGCTCCAATGTGGGATGCGGGCGTGGTAACCACCAGGCTAGCCTGCTCTCACCCTGATCTTTTATTTCTGTCTCAGCCCCCAGATCGATAGCTCCCACTGCAGCTTTCACTCTAACTGCTGACAAGCCACAGACTCCAAGTCCACGGCTCCAACCCCGACGTCTGTCTCAACCCAGCAGAGGGAAGATGAGCCAGCCTGGTGCCCTGGGAACTCGGAGGCAGAGGTTGTATTTCTGAAGCCCAGGCCACATAGGGATCCCCAGAAGTCAGGCCCTACATGGATTCACCCCTTCTGAGCCAGGAAAACCCCCCGGCCTGTTACAAAAAGGCTTCTTCTTAGGGGAAGGAGGCCTCTCCCCAGCACAGACAAGTGCAGCCCACACACGTGGAGGATCTCCAGCCCGACTCTGGTTCTGACACCACACTTGTGCTCAGAGGTACTGCGATCCCAGAACTCCAGGACAGACAGGCACCGGGCAGTTCTAGTACTGGGCACAAGGGGGCGCTCAGCTATTTTCTCTGTAGGAAAGCCTTCCAAGAGCCAGACCTGTGTTTACTACTGCGGATGACTACAGACACGCCGGGTTTGTAACTAAAGCAGGTGGGTTTGTAACTAAAGCAGGTTACGCCACAGAATGGCATATGGCGCGGTGAGCTCTGCTCTGGCTTTGAGGCAGCCGCCAGGAGGAAAGAAGGAAAAGAATGACAGCTGCATTCACACCATTGCTCAGCCTCTGAAATATGCAGCATTGTGTATGAAACACCCTCTGCTCCCCACCTCCTCCGCGCAGGCCGGGGCCCCGACTCTAACCCCACTTGTGACAGGGCACCCCTGGGTCCCAGCTGAGTGTGTCAGAACCAACCGTAGCTGCGACTGGCCCCAGGCCTTACAGATGAAATAGGAGGACCCTTCAGAAAGTCCATGGGGGCTGGGCATTCGGCCTGGTGGCCAAGATGCTGTTTAGGATGCTCATGTCTGGGTCCGACTCCCACATCCTGAGGCCAGCTTCCTGCTAACTCTGGGAGGCAGAGCTGATGGCTCAGCTACTTGGGGCCCAGCCATCGTGTGGGAGACCTGGACTGCGTCCCCAGCGCCACGCTTTGGCCTGGCTCAGCCCTCGTTGTTGCTGGGTAGAACCCACAGATGGGAATTCTCTAATGAATTTTAAAATTTCTCTAAAGAAATTTTTAAAAAGATTTATTTATTTAAAAGGCGGAGTGTGACAGGGAGAGATCTTCCATCTGCTTGATCACTCTCCAAATGGCCGCCACTGCTAGGGCTGGGCCAGGCTGCAGCCAGGAGCCTGGAACGCTGTCATGGTCTCAGGTGGGTGGCAGGAGCCCAAGCACTGGGCCCATCTTTCACTGCCTTTCCAGACGTATGAGCGGGGAGCTGGATGGGAGGCAGAGCAGCCGGGTCTTGAACTGGCGCTCCGATACAGGAAGCTGGTGTCACAACCATGGCAGCTGTGGCACCGAGTCACAACACCATCCCTTAATAAATTTTTTAAAAATTTTAAGTTTCTGGAGGGGCCAGCGTTGTGGTATAACAGGTTGAGGCAGTACCTGCAACATCTACATCCCATATGGGCACTGATTTGAGTTCTAACTGCTTCACTTCCAATCCAGCTCCCTGCTAATGACCTGGGAAAAGCAGCAGAAGATGTCCCAAGTGCGTGGGCCCCTGCACCCACGTGAGAGACAGAGAAGAAGCTCCTGGCTCCTGGCTTCGGATCGGCGCAGCTCCGGCCGTTGTGGCCATCTGGGGAGTGAACCAGCAGATGGAAGTCCTCTCTCTCTGTCTCTACCTCTCCCTGTAACTCTGTCTTTTAAATAAATAAAATAAATCTTAAAAAAAAAAAAAAAAAGACAAATACTACTGAAAAAAAAAAACAGAATAAAAACAAGAACTAAGCTCTCGGCAGCGCCACATACTGGGGCCACGTAGCATTTAATAAATGCTACATGAGGCTATTCAACCTCTTGCCTCTGGGTGGCGCCAGGTGAGCGGAGCAAGCACCCCTGGTCAAAACCGAGGAACCTACTCACCCAGGGAGTCTTCACATCCCAGCCCCGCCCCCAGCTCCAATAACACTCAGGGACTTCATCATCACCTCTCCCAGTCACTGGGCCCTCCCAGCCACTCAGTCACTGTTTATCCAGCCCCAGCCCAGCCCTGCTAGGGGCAGTGGGGGCCCAAAGAGGTTGAGGCTGACACTGTTTCTGCTCTCAAGGAATTTATAAATGGGAGGGCAAGTACCAAGGAGCTGGTGGCCCAGCGGGGAAGCAGGGGAGGGGCAGGCAGGAAGGGGGGGATGAGAGAGGGAGAGGGAGGAGGGACAGAGGGTCAAAGCCGGCACCAGAACCTACCTCAGGCAGTGCTGCATCTACCTAGGAGTGGCTGGCCTGACACCCACCCAAAGCACCTCATGTCCCCGGGGCTGGATCCTACTTGCAACCCCATCACGGCTCTGGTGCCACCCTTCAGGCCTCTCCTGT